AACCATGCTGCCTCATGTTCACACACACACACACACACACACACAATTGTAATTAAACCTCAATAGAATATGTGTGAATATTCAAAAGTTGTGTTGCTTAACAATCTATGTAAATAGTGAGTATGGTTGGTGTATTTGTGTTTTTTTCATCACTCTTACTTAGAAAATAACTTCCAAAAACACTTGTTGTTCCCAACTCATGGGAGGGCTGCCATCTGTGTTTCCTTGTGCCTTGACTGTACATGTTAATCTTGGATTTGTTGAATTAAAAAAATAAGAATAAATACATTTAAAAAATCACATGAATCTGCACACAGATGATGAAACACAACTCAGCAGAAAACCTGTGGATTAATAAGTATTTCATGAATTTCCCACAAGGGGGCAATACTTACCTTCTGGAGACAAACAAGTCCAGTTCTCAATCTAATCTGTGTTAATAAATGGCTTGTATTTATTCCAGAGGCTAAACTAAAAGGGTATTTATTCGCACCTGTTTATGGACATTCTCTAACAGTTTCCCTTCATAGAGCAATGCTCTCCTCCATCAACATATTTCTACTCTTATCCTAAGCTCTTTATTCGTTTGCAGCACTTTTACTACGTGTCATATTGAATCATATATATTTATCATCCAACTCTGCATTTTCTATCATTTGAGCTTCCTTTTGCTCGGAACATATCTGTAAAAATACCATTCTGGATTAAATATTGAGATGTCGTGCCAACAAAGTGTTGCTCGCACAACCCACGTTGAAGATTTCAATACATGTTTGGATCAAAACCAGAATAATTAAGAATGCAATGAACCCTATTTCCTTCAAAATAATCAAAATGTAATATCCCCCCGCCCCCCCCCCTTTTTTTTTTAACGCTACAACTCATGACTAATTTACTTAATTCACTTATTTGGATTTGTATGTTAAGGAAAAATTGTCTAAGACTGGGTTTAGAATCTCATGCACCGCTTGCAGTAGTGACAACAGGGAGGTGTGTGGCGCAGTGGATTAGTGCGTTGGTGTTTGGATCAGGGGAGCACAGGTTCAAACCCCACTGCAGTCAGCATGTCGTTCACCCCAAATTGCTCGTGTGGGGATTGCCCACAGTATTGAGTATGTAAATCGCTTTGGATAAGAGCGTCTAACAAGTAACTTAATATACAACCTCTTGTTTTTTGTTCTACATTTTGGTTCTAAATACATTCTTTATCATAAGAAGTAAGCACATTTTCTACACCTGCATAGAGACAGTTTAGTTGTTCTGAAAACCCTAACCCTAACCCTTAGGTGAGGTTGACTCACAATTACGGATTTGCAGTTTTCCTTAGGTTTCTTAGGTTTATGCAAATGTACAAGACCGGCTCTTTCAGGTCAAAAATTAGGAATGTTAGGGATTAGGGTTGTGAAAAAAGTCTATTGTCTTTTAGTCTGACGTACAAGAATCAGAAAATATCTGTTTACAGAACTGATAATAAGCAAAAATAATGCACAAGCAAGAAGATTCAGAGTCCCAATTCAGTGAATCCAATACAACACGTTGCCCCGCATGCTGAAGGTAAAGAGGTTTGGTTAAGTGGACTTCTTTGTCCGGGGAACATCCATGTTCATCAAACTGTCGCCAGACTAAAAGCACTTCTGAGGCCCCGCAGACCGTCTACTTTATTATCTGTTCATCAAAAGTGTCCCAGATCCTCGCAGCGCCGCACTCTGAGGTTTAATAAAAGCCAGAAGAGTGTCCCAAAAACCCCGAGCTGACAAAGATTCACTGTGGGGTCCTGTTACAGGAGAGGGACAGATACATGGAGACACTGTAGAGACATGAGTTATCTATTATGGGCTTTAACACTTCAATATCATTCAGCAACTTTAACTCTTAACAAACCCAAAAGAAGTCTCTCTGATGTCTGTAGAGGTGGAACGAAAGTCTACCTGTGTCAAACAACTGCCATACAATCTTATATATTAATATTATTTCCCGGTTCCACTGAGTGTATCTTTTTCTGTGACTCATCCTGATCATAACTTGCAAATGTGTATTGACTTTCTGAATGGTCTTAAACCCTTTAAATGCACGTTTGTTTACATAATGCAACTGTTTTTAAAAACCCAACAAAAGCTGAATTATTTTATGTAAACTAAATGCTTAAGGTCTTTTTTTCTTCTCAAAGTCTGGGATATGAGTATTGATTTGAGGCTTTTTTTTTTTTTAATACACATAGCTGGTAATATAGCATGTATTTGTCCAACAGGGCAAACGTGAGAAAAATGGCTCAATTTGGTGAAAAATCCTTAAAACTACACATTTTCTCTAGATTGAAAGCCTGATATAAATATTGTTCTATAATGCCAATGGATTCAAATGGCTGGGTTAATATATGGACATCTGTTCTTTAAGGGTCTTAATATTTGTAATTTGACTCCACAGTTTATTATTATATGTCTTTTTATTATACATACTACTTGTACCTTTTTGGTATATAAACGCTAATAAATCAATATTATAATGTGAGTGTGTGTGTGTGTGTGTGTGTGTGTGTGTGTGTGTGTGTGTGTGTGTGTGTGTGTGTGTGTGTGTTCCTGGTGTTGCTCTGCTCCCGCTGTCCTCCACAGCTGGAAGTGTGATTTTCTCGGCGTCAATCTCAACAACACCACCCACCCCCCCCATCCTGCACAGGAAATTGCATTTCCCACTCACTCGCCAAAAGCAGATGTGTGTGTGTGTGTGTGTGTGTGTGTGTGTGTGTGTGTGTGTGTGTGTGTGTGTGTGTGTGTGTGTGTGTGTGTGTGTGTCGTGTGTGTGTTCGTGTGTGTGTGTCCATGTGTCCATGCACATGCTCACCTGTCTGTTTCTATGCATGCATGTGTGTGTGTGTGCGTGTGCGCGTGCGCGTGCGTGCCCAAATGTGTTGTGTGTGACATGAGTGGGGGGAGGGGCAGAGGGAGGTTCTGAGTAGAAACAGTGCGCCCAATGTTTCATATTACACTCCTCAGCTGGGGGAAGAAAAAAAGTGTAGAAGAAGAGGAGGAGGAGGAAACCTGGGGCTTCTTTCCTTCAGAGGCATTTAGCTGGGACTGTATGGAGGCTGCAGCCGTGGAAAATGAAGATCTCCTCTGTGGTCTTCGCTCTCCTCACTCGAGCCCTGCTTGGAGGTAAGAAAAGTTTATTCTGTTTGAAGTGGATGTGGTGGTGAGAGACAACATTTTTTCCAATTTTCTTCTGAGAAAATGTGCTGAAAATGTGAAAATGTTGATGAGATGGAGAAAAGTCGTTTTATAAAATAGGATTGTCAACTGATATTACATTACATGTCACTTGTTAGACTCTTTTATCCAAAGCGACCGATAGACATTCAGTACTGTGGACAATCCCCACAGGAGCAATTTGAGGTGAAGTGTCTCAGAGACACAACGACATGCTGACTGCAGTGGGACTCGAACTTCCCTGATTTGAAGTCCAGCACACGATCCACTGAGCCACAGCCTCCCTGACATTTCTTTACATACTTTACTAGTTTCTGCTAACATAAGTTTCAGGGTGTTGGCAAGTTTCTTTAAAAAAGCTGCTTGTGTTTGAAAAGATGAGTCAATTCCAAAGTGAAAATTGGTGGTGTTCAAAGTAAATCAGAGCACTTCTATATTAATTTATGGCAATTTGAGTGAGCTTCTGTCAAAAGAGATTATTTAATTGAGCAGTTTAAGAGGTCAAAGTCAGCAAACAACACTTTTCTGCCACTGAATTATCCTTTCATTGTTTTGCTCTGTCGCTCTTAATGAAAGACAAAACTGTAACAAATGTTTTAATTGCATACTGAGCTGTAAAACAGTAAAATGTGTGTCCCAGTGAAATGCCTATGTGTGAAGTGTACATTGTGAAACGTTGGAAGAACAGATGTGAGATATATTGCAACACATGCAGCAGTAAAGTTTGTTCCTCAAAATTCATCCAACGTCTGTCGTCACCGGCCAAAAACAATACGGCTGTCAGCGAGACGGGAGAATACTGTTGAGCAACAATGGCCCCGTTACAGATGTGGACTGTATGGATATCAGAGATTACTTTTATTCGTAGAACAACCTTTAACTGTATTTTTTAGGCTGGTTATTTTACCTCATTTTCTTTCAAGCAGGCCTTAGGTTTGTAATACCAACTTTAATGCAAATCCTCATAGTACGATTTTTATTTTGGGAACTGTTAATTGGTCAGTACTTTGTCTGGAACTCAGCTCAAGCTTTAAATATCTATCAACTAATTTGTCAGTTGCATTAATATGTTGGGAATCCTGAACTTAACCCCATGATTGGTCGAACAAGCGTTGATGTATTTCTCTCAGAACCCTCCATGTTGGATACAAAGTGTAATCGTAGCATGAATGAACAGATCATTATTGACCGGGACAAAAACTGAGGTGAGGCCTGTCACAATATCAGGCTTTTACTACACGATTATCTTTGAAACCTGGCGTCAGTATGTGTTAGGTGTCTTTAGGCATGTTCGAGCATACTTCAATTATCTTTGAAAATGACTCAGAGTATTTTCTTCAGGTCATTTTTAAAACCATCCCTGCACACAATGAAACACTAAACTATAGGAAACCAGCTATTTGTGGAGTGGAAAGACAGGAAGTACCTTGGTTGCTGATTGGCTAATGGTTACACAAGCCATTAAATCGTTATGACATCACAAAGTGACCAAAATCTGATCAGCTCATTTTCAGACAGGTTTTTATAGAAATGGATCAGGACAAAGAGAGAGAATCTTTGTTCCTGAAAATTTCAGAGTCTCTTTACACAGAGGGGACACATGTTGATGTAGAAGAGACATGAAGAAGAGGGGACACATGTTGATGTAGAAGAGACATGAAGAAGAGGGGACACATGTTGATGAAGAAGAGGGGACACATGTTGATGTAGAAGAGACATGAAGAAGAGGGGACACATGTTGATGTAGAAGAGACATGAAGAAGAGGGGACACATGTTGATGTAGAAGAGACATGAAGAAGGGACACATGTTGATGTAGAAGAGACATGGAGAAGAGGGGACACATGTTGATGTAGAAGAGACGAGAAGAGGGGACACATGTTGATGTAGAAGAGACATGAAGAAGAGGGGACACATGTTAACGTAGAAGAGACATGAGGAAGTGGATTTTGCATAATAGGTGACCTTTAAATAACTTGTGTACGTCTTCTCCAGATTGGTGTTCGGCCATTAACGTCACCATCACCCCTTACCCCTTCACGGTGGCCCAGGAGGGTCAAAACATCACGCTCTCCTGTGTTGTGTCCCAGCGGAGACGAAACGCCGCTCTGCCGGTGGTGAAATGGACGTTCCTGCCCGCGGGCACGGACCGACCGGAAGACGAACTCCTCATCGCCCGCGTCAACATGAGGAAGGCTCGCTTCTACGGGAACTACACGAAGAGCTTCACGTGGCCCAAACTGAAGCTGACGGTGGTGAAGCAGGGGAAGATCTTTGACCTGGTGATCCTGAATGTGTCCGAGGGGGATCGAGGACTCTACATGTGCCGGGTGCAGGAGTTTAAAAAGCACCAGGACCGCTGGAAGGCCTCGTCGAACTGCACCGCCGCTACTGAGCTCAGAGGTGAGGCTGAACCTATGGTTTGGAATATTTGCCAAGCAAGAGCTCTAGAGCATCACCATTCTTCACATTTATAGAGTAACAGATAAGATGTCAAGGAAAAAATGTCTGACAGGCAAGAAGCATTGGACTCAACTTGTACAAATGAATTCTTATAGAGTTTCTTAACCCTCCTATTGTCTTCGTTTCCCCCCCACCCCCTTACTTTGGTGTTCGTGGTCAAATTTGACCGGTCCTGTTTTAACTGCTATTACATTAACACAAAAACCATTAATCATCACCACATTTAATTTAACACCCTTTCAAACCAGTCAGCAGAGACAGTCTTCCTGTGGGAAAGTCTCCAGTCGTCAGCTTCTGGTGGTTTGGGGTATTTCAAGATGCCCTGCTGGGTGTCACTTCACAAGCTTCCTGCCACCAGCACAGCGAGAGAACAGCCATGTTAAGACTACTGTGTGTGTGTGTGTGTGTGTGTGTGTGTGTGTGCGTGCGTGTGTGCGTGCGTGTGCGCGTGCGTGTGTGTGTGTGTGTGTGTGTGTGTGTGTGTGTGTGTGTGTGTGTGTGTGTGTGTGTGTGTGTGTGTGTGTGTGTGTGTGTGTGTGTGTGTGTGTGTGTGTGTGTGTTATCTGATCCGGATGGTTACTAATTCCTTTTCTTTATGGCCGGGAACACCATGGGTGTTACAAAGTTGACTAAATCATCCACAGTTCAATGAAAGTGGTGATCAGCAATTGTATATGTTCTAATGTCTACTGTGAAGGATATCATGAAGCCTTAATGCAATCGAACGTAAAACAAAACAGCTATGATTGATGAAAGTAGTGAATCGAACACAACAGGAGGGTTAAGGGTTTCATTTACCAAAAGGGTTTTTATGAAAAATGTTTTAAAAAGTGACCTTCAACTACAGTTTATAGTTTGCTCGCTTCGACTTGAATTTTTATGGTCTTGCATCCGAAAACGTTTTGGATAGAACCTCGTACTTTTTTGGTACTGTATATACAATATGTATATAATGATGACGTATTTATGTACAATTGAGCGGCTTCTTCGGGTTTCATTAGAACTGATTCAACAGAAAATCATGAAGTACAGATATCTCTGAACTTAACATTAGTTACAACTAAACACAACTTCTAGCCATCCGTTATCAAAAATACATACAATTTAATCATTTTCTCAAAGTTCTTCAGATACTACTTGATAGCTAGTAGATTTATTCCACATCCTTTTGCCCTATTCCAGAATTGGTGAACGTGTATTTTACTATTAGGACATAGTTTCTCAACCCCTGGAGGTGGAACCCATTGTTGAGTTTCTCGTGGGGTTTCCTTTCATTTCAAGTGTGCAAAGAAAGTGGAGTGAGATCAGAAATTGGCGTCTTAAGCCAAAATCCGATGGGGAACCTCTGCTCCTAATCCCTCGTTGGAAGAAGAAACCAGTAGCTGATGCCTAGTTTCTCTCAGAATGACATCACTGCGTTTGATGGTGCAGGGCGGTGACTTAACAGCTATTTCTGAAACCACAACAGATGCTGTTTTGATAATAGTAAAAACCGCAAATAAGTTTTTGCACCGATGCCAGGCTTGTCTGCAGAGATCTTTCAACTGAGACTGCTGCTGATGAGCTCATGAAACTGTTGGAGGCTTTAGTTGAATAATCTGTGATTCAGAACACAAGAATATGACTGGAAAGAAAAGGGGCATGTGCCAACTCTGCCAATATCACTTTAAAGCAAATTAGGCGATGTTCACAGACTTGCAGACCTAAAGAAGACCCCCAAATAATCCAAAATGGTGATAACTCTAGACTGAAAACAGCAGAGACAGTGTGTCCTTGGGTGCAGTTCTGCATCTTCAGTAGTTTCTCTTACCACATCTGGATGATCTAATCCATCTGTCTGAAGAGCTGAAGAGGCAGTGAAGAGGGTTCGCTGAGCCCTGTCCTGCTTTTGATTTGGGACGGGAATTGTCATTGGTTAGGAGCTGGGGTTAAAAGGATCCTCCATCTCAATAAGTTGTGGCTTTGAGTTGGAGTACTTGATCTTGGAGACAGAGCAGAGAGTGTGAGGTTTCAATGCCACCGCCGCTGACACAGGAGACGCTCACACAACGGAACGAATGACAAATCCACGCTACCAGAAATCTCTTTACTTTTATAAAAGCCAGAGACATACTTTAAAAGCTTTCTGAGTTTTTACTCTACGTCCTCGCAAAAGAATATTTGATTTGCAGTTATAATTAGGGCACATTTACCACGCAATCTGTCAAACATCAATTACAGTAAGAGCTTAGTACACAAGGGCAGCTAGTCTTCGCATTTATAGCCAGCAAGTATCACTTGGATGGCTGAAATCTAAATTGTGGCTAGCAGATCATGTTAGCTGTAGCTACCTAGCTAGCCAAATGAGCTAACGTCGCTAGTTCATAAGAGGGAAGAACGTTATCTCATACTAACTTTCTAGTGTTTCGATATAACAGTTGTTTAGCTTGTGAATGGGTTCAAACTAGACTACTGTCATCAACTTGTGGGATAAAACGTTGAGATTTAGTTGAAAGAGAGTATCAG